CAGGTCAGTCTACACAGGTTCCTGATCATGCAGGTCAGTCTATACAGGTTCTTGATCATACATGTCGGTCTATACAGGTTCCTGATTATAAAGGTCAGTCTATACAGGTTCCTAGTCACACAGGCCAGTCTATACAGGTTCCTGATCATACAGGTCAGTCTATACAGACTCCTGATCATACAAGTCAGTCTATACAAGTTCCTTATCATACAGGTCAGTCTATACAGGTTCCTGATCATACAGGTCAGTCTATACAGACTCCTGATCATACAAGTCAGTCTATACAGGTTCCTTATCATACAGATCAGTCTATACAGGTTCCTGATCGTACAGGTCAGTCTATACAGGTTCCTTATCATACAGGTCAGTCTATACAGGTTCCTGATCATACAGGTCAGTCTATACAGGTTCCTGATCGTACAGGTCAGTCTATACAGGTTCTTGATCGTACAGGTCAGTCTATACAGACTCCTGATCGTACAGGTCAGTCTATACAGACTCCTGATCATACAGGTTACATGTTCTTGATCATAAGGATACGCTTTACTCTCCATGTAATTTTTAGTTAATAATTTTTTACATATTTTGTCATAGTTTATTTTGTTTTTTAAAAATTCAGATTTTGTTAGAATGTTGATTTTTTCTTTGTTTGTACCAAATGTTAAGTGAGTTATACTGAAAATTAAAAAAATGGTAGAAATGATAACATCCATGTTGCCTGATCCCTTCTGTAATAATGTCATTTTTATCTTTATTGATTCATCACCTAAATATTTTCCCCTACACTTTATATAAACCATGAATTTCAAACTTTGAGTTCATTCCTATACATATATATATATAACATGTCAGCGTTCACTGATTACAATGCCCTAGTGCTTACGTAAGGCTGGAGGCGAACCGGACAACTATATTTGTAGTGTCAGGTTTCATTGCGGAAATTCATTAGCGAAATGTTCTGTGAAAGTGATGTGTTTGTGATCTGAACAAAACACGTTTAATTAATCAATGCAAAAAATGCATACACTCAAATGATAGAACCAATTAAATAAGAATATAGAGAGACAAGAATTTTAATTTATCACTGTGGCTTAAAAGTGATTTTTTCCTATCAGCAGTGGCTGTGTCCCGGTGGAAGCAAGCTTATTGTACAAACAGTTATTTAGGTCTTATCAAAGGAGGTGAACGAACTTGTCTTTCATCACATTTTAAAAAAAACAAAAAACCTAAGCGTGATGCAGGTTGTATACCGTACACGTGTCTAATGAATCTGAGAAAAAATGTGAAATATATCGATCTAAATGTCTCACAACGGATCAATGAATTTAAATTCGAATTTCCGTAGGCTGTTTGTACGTACAGGGATATGCCTAGCGGAACTTCGCTAATCCAAACGAAAACAAGACGGAAGCTATTATGATAATCTGTAAGGGATGTGTCATGTTCACTATGTGAGAATCTCTAACTCTATCTGCACATCGGAATCAAAATAATATCATAAAGTTAATTAACTTATGTAGTTATCAGCTGCTTTTCATCGTTATTTTTTTTTTCTTTTTCTAATCCACCTTCATCCGTGTAAGTTATTTTCGTCCGTGTCATTATCTATGGCGCTAAATGATAAAGTTGCACCTATTCATAGTGCAGCTGATGTGCGTTTTCACATATGCATCTGCACATTTCATCCATTTTATATGAAACATTCACTGTAACGCGAAAACCTTTACATAAAAAATATAAAAAGGTAGATGAATTTGCAACATTTTATTCCAGAATTAATAAGATTCGATTATCACCTTTCATACTCTCCCATCCATGTATTTACATATTGAATATGTGAACTTACCCCCCCTCCCCCTACCCCATCCCCACCTCAAAAAAATTTAAATTAAAAAAAAAGTTGTATACATATAAATCAGACAAAAAACGAAACAAAACCCAACAAAACAAAACACACACATTCAAAAACGACACAAAACCAAGCATATAGATATATATATTTATTAGGAAAAACATTTGACGAAGCTGTGTAGGTTAGTACTGCCAAGTCTAAGTGTTTTCTATGAGTTAAATGTACCAATGTTTGCACGTGGTAACCCAATCACCAGATCGCCTACACTCACAAACTACTTATAATGGTTTACGAATAAAGCTTTCTGATGGCGAACTTGTCAACAAATCTGAAGGGTTGGTTTGAAGAGTGAGAAATTGGAACGAACATCAGCTATCGATATCCAGTTATGACCATACCAAACAATGTCTTAATGACCACTGGTTTCTATTGTACATAAGGGTTAGTGGTGACCAATGGTTTATGTCCGTTCATAAGGTTTGGGTTAGAACTAAAGAACAGTGGTCTTCAAAGGGAAAATGTTATGAAAAAAAAAAAATAATAATAACACGCCCATACTCTACAGAGTGTCACAGTTATACCGAACGGAACGCTCCATATTAAGAGAAAATTGTACAGTACAGACCACAACAGTGGCATTACATAAAACTGCTTTTCTTGTAAAGGCACATACCGCTTTACTAATCACAAACAAATTTATAGGTACTGTTTTAGAAGTTTGACGGCGTTTCTTAACCTCCAAGCTCACAGGTAGCTTTTACTTTCATAATTAATTTTAAATTATTTAGTTAAAATTACAGCATATAATGTCAAAATTTCATTGTTCGACACATTTCCCATTAAAGATGTGTAGTTTATTGGCAAGTAACGATGCAAGATTTTGTTATTTTCATTTTTGTTTATTGCAAGTTCGGGTCATTAACAGTAACGCTAATTAATCATCAATATCTATGAGAAATTTGCACGTGATATTAACGGTTCTTTATGACAGCTCTATGCTGTACTAAAACCACACGCGAAACTGAAATATTATGACGTAGTGTGATTTCGTAAAGTTTAAATCTGTTGATTAACTCAAACTTTTATGTCGTTATATTCTCCATTATTTTACGAAAATCTTTTCATTCAAATTAAATCAATGTCGCTATCATTTTCATAAAGACTTAAGATTTTAAATACTCTGATTACACAAATGCATTTCCGGATTCCGAGTCTAATGTCAGATTTTAAAATGAGCTACGATCGTTTCAGGGTTTACTTTAGTTACAAATAAACGAGGTCATCTGCTAAAGAAGGAAATAATTTACATTGAAGCGGAAACCTTCCGACAGAAGTAAAAATGTCGGGTTGAAATATAACAATATGCATCATTTAATCTTTTATAAATCTGATTACGTTATCATGAAAATTGTAGTTTTCGATCCGGTAATTCACACGTAATTACGTTCTTCCGAAATGAACTGGCAAAATCATTGAGCATGTTAATATGACAGGGAACGCTAAATTCGATTGAAAGCTGACTTAATTCTCGTCAAATATACGTCAATGACGAGTGAGCAATGACACGGAACGTTTTTGTTGTAGAAAGTGTAAAACTGAATCGACAAAAGATCGTTGCTTTGAAGGGAATCTCGTGTGTCTTACGAGATTTTGAGCCATGAAACGTATTGCTGTAATTTGCATAAATACTAGAATTGTGTTTGATACATAATTACCGGCTGGTTTTCAGAGCGGCATTGATATTAAAGATGATGTACACGGTATGCCTCATCCAATTTGAATTATGTTTTCAATTTCATTTCCTCCCCCCCCCCCCCCCCCCCTGCTTTTTGTCCATGTATGTGACGTGTGTAAATTTCTACTTAGACGGTCATCAAATATGAGGTATGCTTGTAAATTCGAATTCGGATCCTCGATATTTCTCCGTAAAATGCCTCCAGAACCTAGATATATAAGTACACCGAGTCGTTATAATGAGTACATAACGACGTATGATATATCTATGTCAGCACATGTACAATAACATTCGCGCACAAGACGCCATTGTGATGTGGGGGTCAAATATTCTTTAAAGTCTTTACAATTCGGACGAAATTGAATCTACATTCCGTTTGTGTCCCCCTTTGATGGTAGTATACCCCTTTAACAGACGCTGGTGAAGAACACCAATTGATATTGATTTAGCGAGTGAACTGCTAGCTCAGTCGATCTATGATCATACGCAGTAAGACCGACCGTCCTCACTCTTAAACTTATTTATTAACATAGAAATAGCGTAGGGCACATGATTTAATGATCAATCCTGGTTTTTTTCTTCCTCTCAATTTTCAAACATTTATTTTTTGTTCAAAGCATATTAGGAATAAAAACACTTAACACAAGATTTTTGTCAGGGTCAAAGCTATTGATACTTATCGCCAATATTAAACAATGCACATAAATGATGCCAGTCACATAGCTAGCTTGCCGCCTATAAGCTGCATATGGCTTTTTCCAGTGAACACTATATAGCTGTTATAAGCCTGCACACTGTGTTCATCAACACGTGAAATGGCCGTTTGTTTATAACATGTTCCCCTCGTAAAGTCAACGATTGTTTGTCTCGATTTTTCCAAGACTTATAAACCCCTTCATCATGACTTGTTAAATCTGTCTTCTATCTAATTTGAGGAAACGGCTGGGTTTTGTTTCAACACGTTGTAGCCCAGTAATTTACGTCCATACATCATACGGAAACAGTGGTAGACCACACGGAATAAGGAGGGAAAACGACGACGGTGAACAAAACCCGGAGGGATTATCGGATTCTGGGCGCACGATAACGTAAGGCGAATTTTATTGGAGTGTTGATTTTTCTGAAGATTTTATAGCAGAGATAGGTAACTCTCGGAATCGTGAGAGAATGGAGGATATATACTGAATAACTGTCTATTTTTATCTCTTGTCTCACCTGAGCCACAGAGGAACGGATGTTATATATTACTCGACAGGTAATGTACGCTAGGCATTGTCAATAAACTGCCACGACAATACCATGTTTATATTAAAACGCTGACCTAGCCGTACATAGGTTCAGGTATGTACATCTTGTGTGTGCGTGTGTGAGTATGTGTATTAATACGCAAGTGAACTGGTAATGCGATTGTCAACAAACACTAAAGAACACACGAGAGAGAATAGTTCCGGACTTAATTTAAGCGACCTCAACTTTAAGTGAACACTTTGACAACGGACTAGCTTGCTACTCTTTTATTTTGTGATGGACTTGTAAGCCTCTGCTCGGGACGAGATACGAACACAAGAGCACTCTTCAACAGCACCATGGTAAGTAAAACGATCGCTTATCTTTCAGTTAAATCTTTATGAACGTTGCATAACAAAAATGAAGATTATTTAAAAACTTGTGCTTGTCTTTATGCATAATGCTTGGTATAAGCCACTGTTCAGTTTGCATTACATAGATAAAATACCCATCCTTTTAAATAAAAGTTTTTGTATGAAATACACAAAGAGAAGATTATTTGCGAACATGCCCCACAGTTGCTATGAACAAGATAGAATCTAAAGATAACAGACAAAAATACACAAATAACCTTCAATATCTACTGTTTGACAGGCGTGGCACATCTGATGTACAATCTACCTGACAGATTTAAAATTGGAATTAAAAACGAAAAAAAAAGGTGTAATTTTATATCTCATTTGTGGATAGACGGTGCGTCGTAGAATCAATATCTATAGTAGCTTGTCTTACAATTCCTGTTAAAGTATTGTTAGCTTAAATTAACCTGTCTGTAACATATTGACTGTATGTATGCTGACCAATCATTTCTATCGATGTAATAATTTAATAATTCTGTCTGTACGTTGTGACTAGAATATCCATGTTATTCTTTAAAACCTTATCTTAATTGCAATTCTCGATCTGTATATTAGTTTTCCAATACAGCATTGGCCATATGGAATAGTGCATCACTTGGTGTTTATTTATAACCCTAGATGGGAATCTAATTATGAAATAGCAGGGATGTAAGAAGGGGTCGAGTCGAGGCACAAGAAAGATGGGGAGGTGGAGGGAAGGGGGGGGAGGGAGGGGGGCGCAGGGGGGGGGAGTATAGATACCGATTAGCAATGCGATAAAGGGATTTCGGTTAAAATTTACAGCAAGAAGAATATCATAATATACCACTGATTTATTAAAGATATATTGACATATTTACATTTTAATAAATATACCATACCACAACAACTAATTCACACATATTCTACTGTTCCATAAGACATTCTACGGTAACATCATACATACTATTTCTCACACATTCTACAGTAACATCACACACACTATTTCTCACACACTCTACGGTAACATCACACACAATATTATTTCTCACACATTCTACGGTAACATCACACACAACATTTTCTCACACATTCTACGGTAACATCACACACAATATTTCTCACACATTCTACAGTAACATCACACACTCTATTTCTCACACATTCTACGGTAACATCACACACAATATTTCTCACACATTCTACGGTAACATCATACACACTATTTCTCACACATTCTACAGTAACATCACACACACTATTTCTCACACATTCTACGGTAACATCACACACACTATTTCTCACACATTCTACGGTAACATCACACACAACATTTTCTCACACATTCTACGGTAACATCACACACACTATTTCTCACACATTCTACGGTAGCATCACACACAATATTTCTCACACAGTCTACGGACAATTGACACAATATTTCTCACAAATTCTACGGTAACATCACACACAATATTTCTCACACATTCTACGGTAACATCACACACAATATTTCTTACACATTCTACGGTACCATCACACGCACTATTTCTCACACATTCTACGGTATCATCACAGACACTATTTCTCACACATTCTACGGTAACATCACACACAATATTTCTTACACATTCTACGGTACCATCATACGCACTATTTCTCACACATTCTAAGGTAGCATCACACACAATATTTCTCACACATTCTACGGTAACATCACACACACTATTTCTCACACATTCTACGGTAACATCACACACAATATTTCTCACACATTCTACGGTAACATCACACACAATATTTCTCACACATTCTACGGTAACATCACACACACTATTTCTCATACATTCTACGGTAACATCACACAATATTTCTCACACATTCTACGGTAACATCACACACAGTATTTCTCACACATTCTACAATAACATCACATACAATATTTCTCACACATTCTCGGGTAACATCACACACACTATTTCTCACACATTCTACGGTAACATCACACACACTATTTCTCACACATTCTACGGTAACATCACACACACTATTTCTCACACGTTCACGGGTAACATCACACACAACATTTCTCACACATTCTACGGTAACAGCACACACACTATTTCACACACATTCTACGGTATTATTACACACAGTATTTCCCACACATTCTACGATAACATCACACAATATTTCTCACACAGTCTACGGACAATTGACACAATATTTCTCACACATTCTACGATAACATCACACGCACTATTTCTCACACATTCTACGGTATCATCACACACACTATTTCTCACACATTCTACGGTAACATCACACACAACATTTCTCACACATTCTACGGTAACATCACACGCACTATTTCTCACACATTCTACGGTAACATCACACACAATATTTCTCACACATTCTACGGTAACATCATACACACTATTTCTCACACATTCTACGGTACCATCACACACTCTATTTCTTACACATTCTACGGTAACATCACACACTCTTTTTCTCACACATTCTACGGTAACATCACACACTCTATTTCTCACACATTCTACGGTAACATCACACACTCTATTTCTCACACATTCTACGGTAACATCACAGACACTATTTCTCACACATTCGACAGTAATAAGCATTATAATTATCACACATTCTACAATACAACACACTATAATAGACATTCGACAGTAACAGACATTATAATTACCACACATTCTACAATACAACACACTGTATTAGACATTCTACAGTAACAGACATTATAATTACCACACATTCTACAATACAACACATTATATTAAACATTCGACAGTACCAGGCATTATAATTACCACACATACATTCGACAGTAACAGGCATTATAATGACTACACATTCTACAATACAACACACTTTATTGAAACATTCGACAGTAACAGGCATTATAATTACCACACATTCTACAATACAACAATCTTTGATTTCCAGCTATTAAGATATTTTCCGTTATAACAAACAAACTGTCATTCACTGCAATGTTGTAATATTGACATTTTGATTGGAATGCCAAGGTCCTTAGTTGTTAGGAACCAATAAATAATGTGACACAAGTGCATGAGGTGCGTACCAAGAACTCTGCGGATCTCAGAGGAATTCATCACTGATCCAAACATCGCTTACGATATTGAAGAACCGATTTTAAACTCTATATTTAAAATTACATGAAAGGTGAAAACTTTTATTGCTTTGGGACTTCAAATTTTAAACGAATTTTTGGGTGTTAAATTTGTCGATTTCTTAAGGGCATCAATCAGAATCGGGGGTGGATTGAGTACAAACATTGCCAAAATGTCCCGAAAGGACTTGTGATTAAATCTGAAGTGCCCGCTTCACACACTGAGAGCAATAACAGCTGAATTTTATGTATGGAATTGATTTGAAATGAAATAGCTTATACTAAGCCGAACCATGTATTGTGACAAGAGTGTATAATGTATCCTTTCCTTCATTAAACTGATCTTGGGCAAACACGGGATCTTCATCGCGAAAATACCATCATGATTTTCACGTCTTAGCCTGTCAAATGTTCTGAAGATGGCATAATATTGAATGCTGATCGTATACGACGCAGTTAAAGGGCGGCCCTGATTTCATTCTCGACATCAGCAGAGGTCGGATGATATGGCTATTTGATATGTTATTGACGATGTCTACATCTGTGTCTGTACATGTTCTGTATTTACACAAAGCCAGGCCATTATACTATGTGTACAGTCGTAGTGTCCCACGATTTTACGTGAAGTACCTCCTTGATATACCCGGTTTTAAGGATATAGAAGCGTGACCCTAAGTACCCAATCTTAGTGTAGTTGTTATGACAAAGCTAGCGATAAGTCACTTCAGAATTGTCAATTTGAGGTTGTAACAGCAGAAGGAAAATTGAACAAAAACTTCAAATCTTTAGTCGTAAGTGGTTTGTTCCACGGAATGTGCAATAAACCCTGACATATATAAAACCTATCAATACTAATAAATTTAGATATAATGGAGTCAGATAATGAATTTAACTACGTCATACAGCTGTTTCGTCCTTCGATAACTTATCAATGATTTTAGCACGTTAATTAATGGCCAAATTAATTGCTGAAAATTACGGACGACTCGGAAAATCAAACAGCCGAAAACAAAGAACCCTTCAGTATTGCATCTTACATAATACATTTACTGTGTTATCACGACATATACAGGAAATATATACTGTGAAAACGTTTCCGTTAATGATCAAATAAAATTTTGAATACATCAGAAACAATTCCTACCCATCATTTAATTCTTTATTAAATTGCAAACTCACTTTGAAGACAGATGACCAACATGGACATTTTGACGTGCAAGAGAAAATAATTTCATCTTCAACAGTCTGCAGTGCTTAATAGGCCTGTGATAATTAAAAGTTACGGCAATGTTTCATCTTCTCGTATCATCAGCCTTATAAACATTCTTACATCAAGACAACATCATCTTGGAAATTTTATCTGAAAAAAAAACGACACATTTCAGTTCATTTAAGAAGACTTGTTTGTGATGTCTGACATCCTTTGTGAATTTTTTGTCTTATTCTCTGAGAATACTTTATTACTATCTCCATATTACTATCAACCAAACACAGAAATTGAACACGGTAAATCAGCTGATTAGCTCATATATATTAATCACGATATTACTAATAGTCACTGACTTACCTAACCGATCAAGGCACTCGTAACTCGTAACATACAAATTTGAAACTAGTTCCATATATATATATATTTATATAATTTAAAAAGATAAAAACTTTGTGTATCGTATATACAGAGAATATTAATCACTTAACATGACAAACAAATATATCACTAACGTTTTCAGGCCTTGCTGCTATCTTCAGGTGATATATATATAGCTACTGACTATACAACAGCATGAGAAACAAACACCTAACCTACCTATTTACA